TGTATTTCAACAAATATAAGTCAACATATATTTTTCTTATCCATTCTTTTTACTGTCGAAAAATTCAAAGAAATTCAAGTATAACATCAAGTCCAAAGCTATCACACACATTCCTACTAGTCCTCTCAAGCCACTCGGCCACATCTCCAAGGCAAATGTTCGGATCCCACTTGGGACCGCACTCCTTGTTATGCAAATGTGGTGAAACTACTTACAGATGGAGAATAGATATTGGACTTGATCGGTGTTTAGTTACTGAATAATAAGGGTTAGTTTCTTTAAATCGTCACATTTGTCAAAAAGTATTAGATAATGTATCAATGAGACTGTAATGCCTTGTTCATACTACGCTAGTATTTTACTCGAGTAGCGAATTTTCAGTAGTCCTCTCTCGCTTCTGCCCCAAAACGGAAGTGAGAGATAACTAGGTACTGATTATTAAAACTAGCATCGTGCAAACAAGGCATAAGAAACTTTTATTTAAAAGAATAACGATAGATTTTTTTTTAATTACTCAGATTAATTCTTTGTAATTTGATAGATTGTGTAATTTGGTTGAAATATAGCGTCTAATGTAACCTATGTTGAACCTAAAAGGATTTGGTATATGTAAATATAGAGTCTAGAGAAACTGTAATACCTACATAAATCAACATAACATTATGCCTTTTATCCCGGAAGAGGTGGACAGAGGTGCTCATTACACCTTTAATGCCACTGTACAATATAACATCTACTTTTCACTATTTATCTTATGTGTCCTATGTAAATTGAGTAGGTATAATACAAATACCACGAATATTGGAAAATCTGGGTTTGGTACACATAACAATCATGTTTTAAGTAAATTTCCGTATATACTTACCTACTTAAGGTATATCTCTATAAACATAATATCTCTTAAAATTATCCGATAAGGTAAACCTCTTATTGAAAAGTCTACTATTCTTGTTACAACTTGACATGTATTTACCTAAATATAATATATGCCTAAATATAGAAAGATTTCAACAAAATAACTCCTCTCGCCTTGCAACACCTATAATATACCTCCCATCAACGCCTTCACATAATTATACCAGTACCTTAATTGGTTCCTTTGCCCGTCTCTTAACACCTGTACTAATAAAGTACTGAACTTATTGACCAGATACTGAAGTACAGTCAAGAACTAAAATAAATACGCTCCAAGTAAATGTATTATATGTATATAACTAAAATTTTTCCCAAATTATACAAAGTATAATTATTAATTATATAATTTTAGAATGTTTCTGTACAATCTTATAGTGGTATATTGGCACTCTTATTGTCATTTTATATGAAAACGGTATATATACTGTGTGTATATATACTGTATATATTTTGGTCTCAAATGTACAGTATTGATCGTCCATCGAAACAAATGTGTAAGTCCCAAAATCTTATCGAAACTCTTAAGATTATTATCGAGTTGGAAGGCAGGCGGCGTTCGATGACATTTTTATGCAAATAAGCATTCAGTACAAGGAAAGGTCGACAATGACCCTTTCGAATCGTTTTAAGAAATTGTTTTCAAACAGACTACAGCATGCGTTGTTATGATAATTTTGTGAAAGTTGACAAAAATGTATGAAAGGGTGATTTAAAACAAACCCTTTGTTGAATAAATTTGTGTAACAAAAGCCTTACTCAATGGATATGTAGATAGAAATAGAAAAAATGGGAAACAGATATTGTTTATTTCTTGTACTTTTATAATTTCTTTATGTTTGATTTATTTAGGTTTGTGTTGCTTTTCATTTGCGATCTACTTAATATCTATAAAAAGACACAACAAAAAATAATATAAATAATGTCTATATTTATTTATGTAGGTATGTGCATAAAATATTTACATGGAGCCGTTAGTAATTTAACGTAAATATTAATGTTGTTCCAGACTCTTGGCAGTCTACGACACTGCATTAATTGCCAAGATACCAATAGCTAAAATATGTCCGATGAATAAATAAACAATATATTTTATTCATATAGAGACGTGATCCTGCACTTAATTTAGTATTACTAATTATGCAAGTATCTACTACACGCGGGCTACAAATAAAGGTCTCTACATCAAGCCATTCTCTGTTATTGAAACACAAAACTATACACAAATCTACATACACGAGAACAATAGAAATTTAATTCAATTATCGTGCAAACACGTCGTTTATAGGTATGATCGTGTCAATTCAGCTATCAAACTTGACTAGTACAGTCATAAAACATAGGTATCTATACAATAGCAAGGTGACTGAACGCTATTCGTCGACCTTATCAATCTTTATTGACAACACTTGACATAATGCGATGCAATGACGTACTGGAAACCGAGTACAAACATAAAATACGACTAAGGAGGTTATCTTAACTGAGAACCGGTCGTCAGTGGTCGCTGGTAAACTCAGTGTTACTATGTTAAGCATGGAGCGATGACGCGTCGAGGTCGCCGAGGCTCTAGAGAGAGGTATTAGGCTAGGTATGTAACACTCACGTGGTCTGGCGATGGTTGCTGCGTAGCAACAAGTCGCGCCGCAGTTGCTGTCGTCTCGGTTGTCGTGAATATTAGACACACTGCACTATGCACCAGCCCACCACTGGCCTTCCGTCTTACCACTATCACTCGCGTATCTACGCTCGCGAATGCGGACTGATTTTTTCTCGCGTAACGGCCCATTAAACTTGTAGATTTCTATCTCACTCGACAACACGATAGCATTAAGAGGCGAGACAAAGAAAGGTTGCGGTTTATGGGTTGTTGATAGAATTGGTATCCGCTCGGTAACGTACCGCCGCCGTGTTGCATATTTTTATAAGACGTAACCTTGTAATGCTGCTTTTAGAAAACTAGCAAATTTTTATTTTATTGACAATTATACATGTATCATTTTACCATTTACCAGAAAATTGAATACTAACGAACGTCAACAATAGTGTTTTTCTATACCTGCCTAATCGAAATTATCTGTAGTATGATAAGATACAATAATGAAGTAATGTATTACTGTGGTATAAAGTTATCATCAGCTGTCTTAAAGAGTATAAACCTAAGTAAGTTATTAGTAACATGACACAGCACACGATTTAACACCGTAAAAACTGGTAAGATTTGCCAAAGATAACGCATGAAAAACGTTAATTTTCCACGCTTGAATACTCTAGCGTGTAGTTTTATTAAGCAACATTGAAAAACACACGTTAACATTGTCTTGTTGAAGAGAAAATACAGTTCTATCTACAATATCTAATGTTATATTCATTATTAACATGTTGTAAGTACTTCATAAAAAGTTATAACACAAAGTTTATCCAAACTCTTAGATAAACTGTAAGAAAATGTCAGTGAAATATGCTTGTCATTTTCCACCCACTTATTATTCCTATAGCAAAATCCCACGCTTACCACACACGGTCGCCATGACCATCAATTTAGCGGCTATCTAAGTAATAATAATAACACTACACAAGCGATACTCACCTAACAGCACTTAAACGGCTCCACAAGGCTTGCTACACTGCCTACACTATTTCGTAGACACGCTACGAGAAACAAAACAACGCTACGAAAAAAATTTAAATCGAAAACCAAACGGTTATACCGCCCTCACAAGGTTACGTCGAACGGAATTATAACACCGAAAGATGTTTAGGAAATATAGGCGTCACCGAGAGCGCAGCCGTACATCTTGCTTATATCGCCTCCACCAGCATTGGAGAGCAGAACATCAAACGACGTTATGGCCCCCGGACGTGCCGACCGCTCTGCCTGCCAGAAAAGGACAAAACTATTCGACAGAATGAGATAGCACATATTTTTGCACTCTCAATACTTTTATTATTCGCAACACAAACAAACATTCGGCTCGAATATAAACCCGCGAATGAAATCAAGTTTTGTTGAGATCAAAGTTTGGTCGCAACTTTTTAGGTAAAGACATTTAGATGACGGTCGGTGTGGGTGGTGCGTGAACGTCTCGCACTTAACGCGCTTATGTTTAGTAAAGTTGTCGCTTATTTAATAACTTTTTCACTGAATTTATATCGCTCGCTGTTTTGGTTAGGTGTCATTTTTAACGTAGGCGTTTAACATAAGTTTCAACATGTTACATTGAAAAATGTTTCACACTTTATACTGCACGTATCGACAATATACATTAAAGGTTAGCCGATAAATAAAACAAAATATGGTCAATTATCAATAGTGTGCAAAGTTTAACAAAACGTAGCTCGCAGAAATGTTAGTCTACGTAACTACATATTTACTTCATCGTGCCAACATTTTAAATATTACTAATTTGGTAGCTCACTTATCAATTGAAATAAATTTAAAGTTGCTCTAATTAGAATGAAACACCGTCCTAAATTGTTACCACTAATTTGAAATTAAACTGCAGTGAAAATACTTGCATGTTTAATTAGGTGATAAATTCAAAGAGCATTAACTTGTCAGCACAATTTAAATGGAAAAGTGAGCCACACAACTGTATGTGTATATAGAATATCGTATATACCAAATTGAAGCCAAGCGTTTTATTTACATTCGCGCAAATTGAATCCTTGGTTCGACGCCAAGAGGAAGCTCGTTCACATATTCATCCAGGCGAGGGAGGGAGGCAGGCTTTAGAGGGACGAGATTCGATTTGCCTAATAGCAGGCGCGAGGTACGGAGGGCTCACTCAATTACTCAGAGTGGAGGTGTCCCGAAGCGCCCCGAACATAATTACATTATCTGATAAACGGTTAGCGCCCCAATTTCCCACATGTGTAAATTTTCTTTTTTAGCGCTCTAATAAAATTGAAATTACGCTGATGTGGGAGTATTGATTGAAATTCGCTGTGATTTGGAAATCTTGGAGCTATATTTAAAACCTATATTTAAAACAAGAAAACAAGTTTGAATTTGTTTTAATCTATATCTACTATAAGATAGTAAGTATGTTTTCTTAAAATGTACAGAATGCGTAAAGCAATCTAACCTGTTCCCGTCGGAGCAGCAATCAACACTAAAGTTTACACCAGCTAACTGTACTCCTTGTTTCATTTCGTTGTAATTTGCACGCATTTTTACATAAAAGAGGCAATGAAATGAGTCTTAGTGAGAAAAATATTTTGTTTTAGTCCATTATGTAGTTAAGAAAAGGCTTTATATTTTTCTGTACTAAGAAATTGTTTTTTGTATGGCTTCTGGCGTTCAGAGGTTACCTTCATTATGTTTTTTAATTACAAAAAAAGAGACATAAAAACTAAGGAGTAAGTAATTTTCAAAAGCTTTTTTTTATTTTTATTCGTGTAAAAATTGTTTTAGAACCTGTATCAGTTTTGTTTAGGTACTACATAAAAAGTAAATTAAAACAAATCTGTATACAGATTACCTACAGAACATTTTTAGTAAAGAGGTAGGTAATTTCATAACTCTATGTTAAACTTTGACTTTAGGTAGTTGACAAAATTGTATTCATTCAGAAAATGTACTGTAACGTTTTGGAAAAATGACATGAAAATATTTTATTACAAAGGTATTTTTATTAGTCAGTAAACTGGAAACGGCTTTACTTACGATTTCACTCCATACGCGATTATATGAAATAGACTATGGAAAAAATTAATTTAATCAATATTTATTTCTTTAAACTTTTTCACCTAGATACTATGTATTTATTTCGTCCAACCTTTTAGTATCTACTAAGAACTTTCACGATTTTGACTATATAAAGTCTATAAAAATGTACCCTAACTTCGGTATACAATTTATTTTTAGCTTCAACCCACTTAGCTACCCAATTACGGACAAGGTGTGTACCATTAATATCGTAAATTATCTTTATCTTGTAAAGACTATCAACATTTTACAGGCATTTAGTCACAAAAAGGCGAAGAGAATCTCAACAACACAAGTCAGGACAAAAAACTGCGCTTAAAAGTCATGGTTCAGTAATGTAGGTATGTAATACGAGAAGTATTGAATATTAACAAGTCGATGCATAAGTAATTTTGTAGCTAACATACCCACAGCACGAACCTTCAATAACACTAAACCATCGATTTCATTACAACCGCATATTTACTTTGTATAACAGCACAATGTTGCCATAATATCACTGTTTGAGATATCAGGACAAAATAAAAATGTACTGGAAAGTGTAATATACAGTCAATATTTTATTTATAAAATGATCGCCGTAGAAGTGCGTGCGCGCGGATTTACAGGGCTCCAAGAGGACGCGGGGTTGACGTCGGCCAATGGAAGCGAGTTCCACATTTAAACTGTAATGCGACCAGTGTGGTTGACCCGTGATATTTTCGTTGGTTTATGTTTTTGTTGTGTTCAGAGACGCGGGGGGAAGGTCTTGTTATGTCGGTGGTGTAATATGAAGTTGTCTCGGTTCGGTTCATTTATATGCTAATCGGCGAGGAGGCGGCGTGTTCCACTATAACCGGTAGGGCCGCAGGCGCAGTGTAGGTGCATACCACTCCGGTTACTTTGTCGATTATCTCTGGAACACAGAATTTATAAGGGTATCAATTCAAATCTTCGTTAAGAATGTTTATATTTTTAACTCTTAATTTATTTTCACGAAGTAAAAAATAAGGTATAAGAAAATCTTATTGTAGTTTCTTTTGTATAATATATCTTTTTTTCATCTGTATTATGACCTACTACAATATGTTTGTCATTTAGATTTACATTGAGTAAGATCATATTCATATATGCATATGTAACATACATAATGTATGCTTCTATGTTAGCATTATAATATTATGATTCATACATCGTGTTGTTCGTAGTATCTCTAACTTCTTCGGAAACTGTAGGTACTATGTGATATGAAATGAATTCAATGACTAGTCCTATATTTAGTACTTATTTAATATTGCACGTAAGGTAGGTAATGGAAATTGCCAGTCAATAAAATATAATGAAAGTTTTTAAAAAAACACTATTACTTTTTTTCTGTGCCTACATCCTACTTTTAGAGGTACGATCCTCATTCCAATTAAATATAAAAGTAAGAATTTTTTATTCCCTTTTTTTTACACGTCGTAATGATTATTCATAATAATTCCACATCGTAATTATTGAATTGGTCATCTGTTCAACCCTACTAATACCTTTATTCTGCTTAAGTTATAGTGTATGTGTACCTAACAATTATAATATAATTGGAATTGTTTGTTTAATGAGCGTCTCTCGCCATCAAAAGTAAAAGTTTTGCGAGATTAGATTTAAGGCAATACTGATGTAAAATTTATCTTTATAAATTTGTTTAAAAAAATAACTACTACCTGAAGAGTGTATCTTCAAGGCCCGGGTGAATAGGTTGCTTATGCGTCGACGTGCTCCATCGTAGATCGCTTCATCGATTTATTAGCTTACCACCAGGCAAGATAGTGGTCAAACGTCGGCCCATCAAACATAAATAACTAGTTACTTTGCATTACCTAAATATAGTTAGACTTACTAATAAAGACAGCTTAGACCGTGTTCTTGCGGGTTATCGGAACTTCGGCTCGAATATGTAGGAAGAACATGTGAGTCTATCGCATCCTCGTTTCATCCAAGCCGGGTGAAGTAATTTGAGGATTTCTCCCTCAAAAAAGTTTAAATCACGCAGACAAAACTCCGAGTAAATGCTAGCTATCAATAAATATCTATATTTAATTCTAGGCCTCAGATTACTATGCAACATTGTAAGATAATAGCTATAATGCCGACACTTAATTTACCAATTACCTACCTACTTGTATCCACTACTTAATGAATAGATACTTGATTTTATTACTTAAATACAAAGTAAGCTTTATGAATAGGTATTCGCCATTAATTATCAACTACCTTTTTGCGATTAAACGATCCATTTAGCATTGTAATAAGCCCTTATAGTGGAATGGAGGTATGATGGTATAGAGGACGGTGTTTAGCCAACCTTTTTTCAATGAAAACTATTACTATTATTTATTGGAGTTTAAAAATAATAGGCAAGTATTAATTAACATATTGAACAGACAACTTAACTTCATATTTATATTTACGACTCATTCGATAAAAAAATAATTGGTTAATAATTTCGAATTTCTTAGAATAAGGAATCATAAATGCCCTTAAAAAGAAATACTGAATATGTAAGTACTTAGGAATAGTAATCGAGAAAGGAAGGCTTTTCTTCATTCCTAATACTTCGCTATCTCAACACCGGTAGATGGCGTTGTTTTAACTTAGCTACCATTGCTTAATAGGCACATAGTTTTCTTTTCGTCAAAAAGTAATATTTCTTTTATTTTTAGCAACCATTTTTGTTGAATAACGGTATCTTCTGTGTTTTGATGCCTACAACAACATAAAATATTCATTTATTCAGGAAAACGACATGTTTGTCATCTCAGTTCACTGGTTCCGAGAGGGCGCTACGGGCCATGTCTCTAAGATAAAGGAATATCAATTCTAGATACTGAAAAATAGAACTCAAAATCATTTGATAGCTTTCCTATTTACATTGTCGGGTCGAACAACAAGGGTTCTCTATTTATGATTTTCGATCGAATTGAATATGTGGAATTAATGTAAATTAAACGCTTTCTAGTTTTAAACCGACAGGATGTTGAATTTTATCAATTTCAATTTAAGTATTGCTAAACACGCGAGTGACTTAGGTATCTATGCTAATACCAATTAGGTTAAATACCAGATATCACATCGTTTTAAACCGCCAATTGAAATACTTACATTTTTCGAATACTTTATGTTGGTAGGTACCTATATACTTGCTTAAATAAGTTAGGTAAGTAGTTTTACATGGTATTCACTAAGTCTTAACTACACATTTTCTTCTTCTATAGATAATACTATCCACAGGTTTCGAGTATTTAAAAATTGTATAGCACTAAAACAGCATGGACTCTGGAATTGTGCCCAATGTATGGGGATGAGCTCACCCCTATTAAACTTGTAATATAACTGGTACAAAGTAGGCGAACTACTAGTACTAGTACTGGTGCAAATTAGGCGTGTCATTTTGTTTATTTCAGATTATTTATAAGGCAACCTTGCCCTGCTAATTTGCCAAAAATGACTATATAAACACATAGAACTGGTCTATTACCGACTTCTAATGGTACTTACCTTTTCTGTTTCCCAATGCCTTTACTACCATACATACACATTACCAAATCTAGAATATTATATCTATTTCTTATTCGAATTTGTAATAAAACATTTTCTCTATTCCATTGGTATTATTTTCACGATGCTCGTATGGTGGTTGCGAATAATCTACGCAATGTATGGCGTGTCTGTGTAAACTTTCCTACCGCACATGTTGTGCGATCTTATCTATCTCTGTGCCTCTACCTACCATTCTAGTTAAGACATTCATGAATATACTGCATCAATGAAAGCTAGCTTGAGTACATACTGAAACTATTAATACTAGAAACTGTGTTACTTGAAAAAAGCGGTTTTCAAACTCTTAATTTCCTTTAGATACCATTAAACCAGGACATTTAATTCCAAAATGTATATCGATTAATATCAAACAGTAACTATTAGTAGTTAGAAATATGAAAGCCTATCACACAGCGACATCGTCTATTTTTCAAGCTTTACTTACTTACCTAAAACGAAGATCGCTCATGTTGCTAATCCATTGCCCTTTGCGAACTAGTCGAATATATGCTTGAAAAATAAAAAACGCAATAGAAGCTTAACTTAACTATAGGAACGCTATTACCTCTAATAATTCAGTTTCAGTTAATAATTACCTAAGTTGACATTATCTCAATGACTATCAAGACTTACTTACCTTTTTACCTAGCATTAGGGACTTTAGACTAATCTTCTTACTAATTAATAAAGGAGCTTAGGTATCTAATTAGGTTCTTCAGCAGTTTAGCTCTTTAAAGAGTACTACATATCTGGCCTTACCTGTAGACTGCTTCTATTTCCAGCTAAGTAGGTAAACTGAACCATTGCTTAGATACACGTGGCTTCATTGCCAAGACGTATTGAACACGTGCAACCTCGGGATCGATACAGCCTTCATCGAAAAGGACTAAATAACTTTTGTA